TCTCTACCTTAAGGCTTGTATACAGTAGAAAAGTGGTGAAACTCTCTACCTTAAGGCTTGTATACAGTAGAAGAGTGGTGGATCTCTTTACCCTAAGGCCTGTACACAGTAGAAAAGTGGTGGGACTCTCTACCTTAAGGCCTGTATACAATAGAAAAGTGGTGATTGTCTCTACCTTAAGGCTTGTATACAGTAGAAAAGTGGTGAAACTCTCTACCTTAAGGCTTGTATACAGTAGAAGAGTGGTGGATCTCTTTACCCTAAGGCCTGTACACAGTAGAAAAGTGGTGGGACTCTCTACCTTAAGGCCTGTATACAATAGAAAAGTGGTGATTGTCTCTACCTTAAGGCTTGTATACAGTAGAAAAGTGGTGAAACTCTCTACCTTAAGGCTTGAATACAGTAGAAAAGTTGTTTGGTATATATATATTGATAATGGAGTCACATGAGTAAAACATATTGCAGCCGTTTATCATTAGACGTTTCACCTTAATATCTGCCAACTGCCACTAAACAGCTGGTCCACTGATCCACTGTTTCACTTTAAACCGCTGGTCCATCAATCAACTGGTTCCCTAAAATGCAGGTCCACTGATCTACAAGGACATCAGCCGCAATCCTGACCATCTGTGAGTACAAATATACATGTTATGTGTATGCTACATTGTCGATCATTTAGAGTTTCGCCATCACAGTGTTATGTACATATTGGGACCAGTAAGTAGAACGCGCATACTATTACACCTGTTGCAGGTTACAACCATGCATTATGTATACACATATATAGGTTAGAGCTTCGCTAAGGCCTCGTACACAAAGATAAACGTAACACCATCACAGGTGATTGCGTCGTTAAAATTTAGTAATAGATACGGTAGCAAATATACGTTAGTATTGCGCTCGGCTGAGTCTCAGTTGCTTAGTGCGTTCGTATGGTATACAAGGATTACCGGGTTTGAATTCTTGCCTGGCCCGTTAATGGTAACACACGAATGAAGATACAGGTATTTACTTATTTCATCTTTATCTGTTTTCATAGCTGTTCCGCAGAGTATGATATCTTTCTTTTAATTTTCGTTTGGTCAAAATTATATAAATGCCCGGCTAAAAGCTAACGCGCATTTCAGCTTTTGGCACACGGAACAGGGGGTCCAGATCATAAGAAGATGAGTAAGAACAATCATGATTCACAGCACTTTGTGTTGTATCTCTGATGAGTAGTACTCCCAATTTGCGATATACTAAAGACATTAATTGATAATAATTTCTGAAGTTAAAACAAACACACACACACACAAACGCACACTTTCGGCGGCGGGATTTTAAGGAAGGAACGTCTAATGTGCTACCGGATATATGTTATGTGTTAATGCTTTTCAGCAATATTATGCTGACTTATTTCGAAAGTTTTAACTCCCTTAACGGCAAGCATCTGTTAATGTTTCTGTATAAATACAGAGAGCATAAGATCGATCTAATAGGAATATATATATATAACAGTGAATTGTCTGTTTACAGTAGAAAAGTGATTCGCTCTTTACCTTAAGGCCTGTATACAGCAGAAATCTCTACATTAAGACCTATATATGTAGAAAAATTGATGGGGCTCTCTACCTTAAGGCCTGAATACAGTAGAACAGTGATGGTACTCTTTATATCAAGTACTGTATAATGTAGAAAGGTGATGGGGCTTTCTACCTTTATGGCCTGTTTACTGTAGAAAAAGAAGTGGGACCCTCTACCTTAAGGTCTGTATACAGTAGAAAAGTGGTGGGACTCTCTACCTTAAGGCTTGTATACAGTAGAAAAGTGGTGAAACTCTCTACCTTAAGGCTTGTATACAGTAGAAAAGGGGTGAAACTCTCTACCTTAAGGCTTGTATACAGTAGAAGAGGGGTGGATCTCTTTACCCTAAGGCCTGTACACAGTAGAAAAGGGGTGGGACTCTCTACCTTAAGGCCTGTATACAATAGAAAAGTGGTGAATCTCTCTACCTTAAGGCTTGTATACAGTAGAAAAGTGGTGAAACTCTCTACCTTAAGGCTTGTATACAGTAGAAGAGTGGTGGATCTCTTTACCCTAAGGCCTGTACACAGTAGAAAAGTGGTGGGACTCTCTACCTTAAGGCCTGTATACAATATAAAAGTGGTGAATCTCTCTACCTTAAGGCTTGAATACAGTAGAAAAGTGGCTGGTCCCTGCATATATGTGTAGTGAGACATTGTTTGGTATATATATATATTGATAATGGAGTCACATGAGTAAAACATATTGCAGCCGTTTATTATTAGACGTTTCACCTTAATATCTGCAACTGGATGAGATTTGATAAATATAATTCTTGTGCGTTTCCGGAATTTTATGTACAATGTATTGCAGAACAATGAAATCATGACACAGTACAAGATGGGCAAACTGGTCGGCTCTCAGGGACAGGTCAGTCCTCAGGAACTAGTCGGCCCTCAGAAACAAGCAGCCGTTTGATTAGCCCGGGTTTCTTGTGGCCCTAACACCAGACTTACACATTTTGACAGATATATGCCTGCATCGGGCTACTTTTTGATATAACTTCAAGTCCAATATTTGAACTCTCGAGTGCAGCCGTGTGTATATAAATACCATCAACGCATCGTCCCTTGATTGAAATGGTTAGTATAGAGTATACAAGATCTTCCTGTGAAAAAAATAGATTTGAGTAAAAACAAGTAATTGTCTGTTTTTCCCATGTCAGTATATCAGATTGGAGTGGAATGTTTCACCTGGTGATAGGAAAATAATCACAAAATTGTGTATCAATATCTTATATTTTCATTTTCCATTTAACATAAAAAAATGACTCGATCCTATATAGACTTATCATTCTAGTCATTAAATATGCTCCATGTTATTCTATATTACACGTGGTATATAACGCATATATAATTAGGTCAGTTGTTATTGGTAGTTACGTCAACAAACCTAGTTCTGAAGTACAACTCTCCTACGCAATTATAGTTCGTGCAATGATATCTATTCTTAAAAGATTAATAACGTAAATCAGGTATAGATGGCCAATATTTTCCTCTAAAATGCTACAAAATTAAACATGTGATAGACTACCGATTCTTATGCTAGATATATCAGGTATAACCCATTGGTCCAAGACCAACTCACTCAGCACTAAGTAGATGATTAGTCATGCACTTTCATTGACGTGTCAGTATATAATGGATTCTAATCAGGCCACAACAAGTGCTGTTACTTAAATGATCGTGTTTTTCTTTTTATATTTCACTGACGATATATACATGGTACACGTGTAAACACTAGAACATTCCTGAAATTTCATCCATCAGAAGGGCTCAAACCTTGTCGAAGTTCCTCCATCAGAAGGGCCCTAACCTTGTCGAAGTTCCTCCATCAGAAGGGCCCTAACCTTGTCGAAGTTCATCCATCAGAAGGGCCCTAACCTTGTTGAAGTTCATCCATCAGACGGGCCCTAACGTTGTCGAAGTTCATCCATCATAAGGGCTCAAACCTTGTCGAAGTTGATCCATCAAAAGGGCTCAAACATTGTCGAAGTTCCTCCATCAGAAGAACTCAAACCTTGTCGAAGTTCCTCCATCAGAAGGGCTCAAACCTTGTCGAAGTTCATCCATCAGAAGGGCTCAAACATTGTCGCAGTTCCCCCATCAGAAGAACTCCAACCTTGTCGAAGTTCATCCATCAGAAGGGCTCAAACCTTGTCGAAGTTCCCCCATCAGAAGAACTCCAACCTTGTCGAAGTTCATCCATCAGAAGGGCTCAAACCTTGTCGAAGTTTATCCATCAGAAGGGCCCTAACCATGTCGAAGTACATCCATCATAAGGGCTCAAACCTTGTCGAAGTTCATCCATCAGAAGGGCTCAAACCTTGTCGAAGTTCATCCATCATAAGGGCTCAAACCTTGTCGAAGTTCATCCATCAGAAGGGCTCAAACCTTGTCGAAGTTCATCCATCAGAAGGGCTCAAACCTTGTCGAAGTTCATCCATCAGAAGGGCCCTAACCTTGTCGAAGTTCGAATAAGACAACGATTCCGACTAGGTGTTCTTCTGATCGTTGTCCTCTTCTTCTTCCATGATGGTTTCTGGTTTGTCAACATTTCGTCCCTACAAAGCGTTTGCTCATGTAAGGTAGGATAAGGTTTTGCATTTATATCCCTTTTGCTGATGATTTGACGACAAAGTGCTCTGTACTTTAGCCAAACGTATCAACTGCGTTTGCATTGTCAGATTTGACATTCTAATTGGGATACATGTCACAGGGTCATTATGATCTAATTTATTGTATAGTTATAAGTAGTGTGTGTTGTGTGCTGTACGTTTGTCACCTGTGTATCGTAATGTGGAAAGCACCTTGTTACTATTTATAGCCCAGGGTGGTGTCCTACCCGTGTCGTGTCGTGGTCGTCTCTATATGTCCGTATTTGGTGTTGTTGATGAGTTATATGTAAGGAAGGTAACTATAGCATGAATGCTTAAATGTAGTCATAAATTGGAATATTTAATTTAAAGTATATAAATTAAATATCGGACTTGTCAAACATAGGTATTGTATACGGCGACATACTAATTCTAGGCCATATTTGTTTTGTAGGTGATTTTTTTCTGTATGAATCTGCAATGATGCTCCGGTCATAATAAATTCGACTCGAACCAACAGGACGTGTGGAGATTTTATTCAATAAATGTCCTGTGACATACATGTAATTAGAGTGGGATAATACAGCTAGTATATCAACACTCCTCCAAGGCAATTCAAATGTACAGTAGCCAATTTCATGTAGTATGGTCTGTCGTACCATTTCCGTACCAAGTCCGTGTAACATCTCCTCGTAGCGATTCTCTTTGAATTTCTTTGGAAACGGCCTACAAAGGGATTCGATTCCATATATGAGATGATTGTCTACATATACCATCAGTAGTGTTTTTTTTAGTGCTGAGTTAAACTCCCTAAACATTATTCCCTCCATTTTTGCTCTTACTTATGTTATCGAACCATGGCGTGAGTTTTTACTTGCAAGAACATTTGTCTGATATCTTGACCAAACTTTGCCATCGACAATAGAACAGAAAATGGTACTTCTGCTTAAAAGGGAAATAGCTCTGTTTAATTCATTAAGTGTGGCAATGATTTTCTTCATTACTAGTTATTTAACATCAATCGCAGTTTCATCTCAAAAAGCCATACCTGAAGTTACAGTGTATTTGAATATCAGCCCCACTATTCGTTACAGATAGCGAATTTTATTCACTTTGCAATACTTATTTTATGTAACTATTTCTATACATTATAGGTAACTGAAAGGAATCATGTCTGAGATGAATCACATTCCGGTTGTTGACCTGAGTAAGTCCAAAACACACCGGATGGAGGAAGCAATGAACGTGGTGAATGGTCTGGAGAATGTCGGTTTACTGTATGTTGATAACATCAAAGATTTTGACTTTGACAAACTGATGACTTGTTGCAGATGGGTCTTCAATCAGTCAGATGACGTGAAAAATAACATACTGAAGAAACTTTGGAACAACAGCAATAAGAACGTCTACCGTGGGTATTTCCCTGTCATAGAAAGCCAGGCTAGCAGAAAAGAAGGTTTTGATTTCGGGAAAGATATTGACTGGAGTACCGCCTCTGTATCACCAGAAAACTGGTTTTACGAAGAATCTGTTTGGCCAAAAGAGGATGGAAAGTTTCCTTTCAAGCAATTTCTTCAAGATCTTTATGGCACCATGCATGAAACAGCCATGGAGATTCTTAGGTTAGCTGCCGTAGGTTTAGGGATCGAGGAGCACTCCTTTACTGACATGTTTTCTTACCAGCCTTGTTCAACGTTTCGTCTTCTACACTATCCTCCATGGATTGATGGCCCGCCGGACAACGCGCGGACGGAGGATGGGCGGTTGATGACAACACCAGATCACACAGACTCTGGATTCCTTACGCTGCTGGCTACTTTCTCGTTTCAAGGTTTGGAATATGTCACCCCGAACGGGAATTGGATGCCAGTCAAACCCCGGCCTAATAGCCTCGTTATCAATATCGGTGATCTGTTTTCTCACATGGTTGGTGGACGTTTCAAAGCGACGCGTCATCGTGTCATAGATATAGGTATCGATCGCTTCTCTGTGCCGTTTTTCCTTGAGCCAAATTATGATAGAGAAGTCGGTTTCAACTTAATTGAACGAAGCGCCGGTGAGGATGTTAGTTCTTGTGAAAAATACGGACCGTGGGTAAATGCGCAGATGGCACGGAAAGGGTTCTACGAGTTTGTTTCTTTACCAAAGTTTTAGTTCGGGATATATACTTGATTTGGCAAATACCTCCGACGTTACTCCGGGAAAGAGGAAACTATACCGGAATTTCCTTTATTAAAACTTTCAAAAATTAAGAGATGCAGACCCAGTTTGAAAACAATTGCAAAGTAAAAGGCACTCTAAAAGATACTAAACTGAAGAAAGATGTGAAAGTTTGTGCACGCCGTGATTCATATTTTTCTAGCAAGAATTTTTGCGCCCCACTCGGGAAATATGATTTACTGAATCTTAGAAATTATAGGAAAAGAGACATCAGACAATGACATTTTTTTTTTTTTTTTTTTTTTTTTGTTGGAAAAACCATACCAATCCCTTTCCCTTAAGATTATAATTCTGTACACTCCAAATTTGAGATTCTGAACAGTTGGGTATAAGAGTGCTAGAGATGTCTCAGTATTTCTAACAGCTGACTTCACTGACACGGCACATTGTGGTTTAGTTACACCTGTCATTTGACTTTTTGTTTAACAAAGAAACAGACGTTTTCGAAAGATCGCAAAACAAATTTTCAATTATTGTTTGTGTGAAAAACAAATTTAGCGTTTATAACTAGATCCCTGCTTTTGTGGTGGCTTTGCTGTTCAGGGTGTTGTTCCTCTATCAGCCGTGGAAATAATTTGAAAACTAATAACACTCCTGCAGACTTAATCTGAAAACAGTGTCTAGGTGTGCAGGCTGTTTATAACTTTAGCACTTAGGGAAATGACTGAGCAGATCAGGGAAGATGTGGGCGTAATACGAATATAAATAGATAATTATACTGATTGTAGTTAATTAAACTGATCGAAAACAACATCATCTTAACTAATTACGCAAGGAGATATAGTTTAATCGGCCTCATCCGTGATATGTGCAGTGTGCAAAAGCATTTAAAACCCGGTCGTTGGTACATGTATGGGCAAACTATCGCTGGTCAGGCCGTTATGCTGTTGCTTCAAATTTAATGATGAATTTCTGTATGTTTTGTAAAATACATTAAAGAACGGTTAAAGCATAGAATTGTTTGTGGAGGGGATGGGTGGGGGTCGCATTACGGTTTGTGTTATATTGCACAATACCTGTTGTGTTAGTAATATTTATATTCTCCTTCGTCCCTCATACGAATATAAATTATTTCATATCCATAAATCGTAAGTGAACAAACAACAAAAAGACTATAATTCTTTTATACGCTATAATTAGCTAATCAATAATCGTTTGTTACAAGTAATTTCATGTATATCGTTATGTCACGAAACTGTGAATTGAACATTGAACAACGACTACATATTGAATCATCCTCTTCTCTCGTTCCTGAATACAAAAACAACCAAAACCACATCGGAATACGCATATCACCAAGTCCACGATGTTCAAATCCCTGCGCATTCCTCCGTAGGCTGATCCCCTCACAAATTAGCACATGTTTAATTAACAACACTACAACAAACAAAAACGATTATTACCATCAACTATAAACAATTCAGACCTATCCTATCCTATACATATTTCACTTCAACTGTTCATCTCAACCTTACACTCAACACTTGTCTTACTTTATTCTTAAAACTGTTATATAACCCATACCAACATTCGACAACCACGGTCTGCATATACTCCCTATGTTGAATTTGCACTTACATCAAAACAAAACAAACAAAAAAAAACCCAAAAAACAATAATAATATCAATTAATCACATACACACCCAATTAAACAAATTTAAAAAAAATTAATTGACGGAGCCAACGTGGAACATCCGTCTCTGTGTGTAACAAACACCTCGATGAAAACCCCCAGTTGAACCCAGGTATTTACACACCTGTACAGGTAAAGCACGGACTTCACGTGCCATTAGTTACTACAATTTACAGGTCCTTCACTCACAATATAACGAAACGAAATCTATTTATATTCTCCTTCGTCCCTCATACGAATATAAATTATTTCATATCTATAAATCGTAAGTGAACAAACAACAAAAAGACTATAATTCTTTTATACGCTATAATTAGCTAATCAGGTATCGTTTGTTACAAGTAATTTCATGTATATCGATACTACAAAGGTAAATTGTCGATATTGTGAGATTAGAGCCCCAATTTCTTAGACACTGCTAGCTTGTGAGATAAATCATCCAATACGTAACCATCTTTTGCTGTTTCGGACTTCCACCTACCGTGTGCCTTAAATAAACGGTCTGGGATGTCGCTATTGGCCGATTTTGACGCCCCTCCGTTTCTTATACTATGTATGCCGAACTCTGCCTTATCTAGGCCAATTCTCGACACAGCATCTAAGAATATTTCTCGGACTCGTGTATAACTTAATGCTTTGTTTATTTTTGCCAAAGAATAAGTCCCTGTCTTTTTGAAAAATACCACAGCTCTAAAAATATATTCATCTGATCCACTTGCCAATTTTGCTAAACTGATATATCTCTCTAAACATGTAACTGGGCACGTTAAATTGCCCGACCTAGCTATGTAGACAATATTACCTCGTCTATATACATCCGTCTTACTACTGATCACTCTAACTTCTACGTGAGACACTTTAAAACTTAAATCGGACATCCTTAACTGTGCAAGCTCATTAAACCTAAAAAATCCTGCAAAACCAAGTAAACAAAATGTACAAACTCTTACGTCTTTCAAACTATTGTGATCGTTAAAAACATTCACTATTAATCCAAGATGCTCAGGTGTCAACGGCGCCTTCTTAACTACAGGTTTCGATAGAAGACGTTTTGCTCCTTCAAAAGTTGTCAGCAAAAACTTGTCATAACACGGATTAACAACTGCGGCAAAATCATGCTGCCATTTTATACTATAAAAATTAGCATTAATAACAGACACTGAAACTTCCTGTTGAGCTAAGAACGATACATAAACACTCACTGTACTAACTTTAGCTGGTAAATATTCCAAATCCACCGTCTTGCACCAATTCAAACATTTCTTAAAATAAGCGTCCTGCATTTTGTTCGTACTTTTCGCACGACTACATCTCATAAGCGTCCCAACATTAGCAGCTGCCTGAACAAGCACAGAATTCTGTCCTTTAGCACGTATATCGTCCCATAAATATCCTATCTTGCCATCAGATTTCTTCAATAAATATAATAACTTATACAGATGTATATGTTTAATGAATTTCTTAATCATTATAATACCAAATATTCCACCAAAAACAAAAACCATGCCCCCAATTTTATGTCTCACCTCGGACCAACCCGAATTTCACTTATGTCTCGCCTCGGACCAACCCGAATTTCATTTATGTCACACCTCGGACCAACCCGAGTTTCATTTATGCCTCTCACCTCGGACCAACCCGAGTTCCATATATGTCTCGCCTCGGACCAACCCGAGTTTCATTTATGTCTCACCTCGGACCAACCCGAGTTTCAATTATGTCTCACCTCGATCCAACCCGAATTTCATTTATGTCTCACCTCAGACCAACCCGCCTTTCATTTATGTCTCACCTGGGACCAACCCGAATTTCAGTGTACCCAAATCCTAAAATAACCTGTTTATCTCTCGCTTCAACCCAACCTTAATTTCTTTGCTGTGAAGCCACAGATATAGATAACTGACCAAACCCTAATGCCAAACCGCCCCCAAGCGCTATCAATGCTAAAAGCTGTATACCGAATTATGACCAAACCATTCTGTAATTTATTCACAAAACAAAAGATATACTAATCCTACATAGATTATTGTATTTTATAATATTAAATGCCAAGATATTTATTTAATTCCATACCACGAACCCATCAATATCTCAATTGATATGGTAGTAAACCACGTTTGGAACGCTACAGCCTGAATACTTCAAACTCAACTAGCATTCTAATACTAATATATTATACCTTACCCGTTATATCACCCCAATTATGTAAAAAAACTCAATAAAAATACTAAAAAAACTCAAGTACTACATCAGTAACCATATGTACAACACTAATTGTTTACTCATTTTGACATTCCAGCTTTAAGACTAGCACATTAGATTGAAACGGTTTTAATGCGAATACACTATTAGTCTGTGAACCAGCTTTAAAAAAACTTGCCGGTTTTTCGAACTCGACAAAATCAGCTACAAACCACTTAAAACCTCGCTCGTACTGCGTTACCAACAACGGCCAGAAAGGTGCTGATGGCCAGTACGGTACAACCAATGTACCGTTTGCTTTACAAACTATGAAATGATTAATACACCTGGCTATCAAATACACTGGGGGTACCGCCCAGCATTTATGCTGTGCCCAATCAAAATTGAAAGCATTGACTCCAACTGATCCTGGACATGCGTACTTGGAGTAAAACTCACTGACCTTGTTATTGTTATTATTTGCAAACAAATCACACGTGTGTGGTCCCCATCTAGACTCAAACAGCTGAAAAATATTATATTCCACGGACCAATCGTCAAAATCAATAATTCGACTATACTGATCAGCCAAACCATTACTTTCTCTCGGAATCAACTGAATACACAACGAAAACTTAAAATGTTTAGCCAAGTTAAATATTGACATGGCTAACTCCTGCAGATCTACCCGCATACTTCCAACTTCCAACACCCGTGGTACACTCTGATTGTCCGTACTAATGAGAACACTTTTGTTATACAACAGTAAACAATAACTACGCAGTGTAATCTCTATGGCCTTCAGCTCCCTCCGTGTTGAACTTTTTCCCACATCTTCCATTGACCACATATTATGTACTATTCGATCTTTAAACTCGACACAAAATCCTGCACCTGCAAAACTACTAGCATCTGTGAAGATATGTAAATCAAACTCTAAGTCATAATCAGACAACTTCCGTGCTGCTAAACTCACCACATTTTCCTCCCAAAATTTGGCCTCCTCTATAACCTCAGCGGCAACCTGGCCAACCGTATCCCAACTTTCTCTCAGACATATTTCTCTATGTAAGGACCTAGTCCGAAATCTACACACATTCCCAAGACTTTCCAATACTGACAAAACTTTCCCAGCAAATCTAGCCATATCTCTAGCAGAAATTCTACCACTATGTTTCAATAGCCCTCTAGCTATATTTTGTATTCCTAACCTTTTATCCTCATTGATATCAAGCAACCCGACGTCTAATTTCCACACAAAACCTAACCACTCTAATGTCTGTACTGGACTCCACACACTTTTATCACTATTCGGTAAAATTCCCGCCAATTCTAAATCACACTGAACTGCTTCTGATATTTTTAACGTTGATTCAAAAGTACTGTCTATTCCTAACCCATCATCTAGATAACCTACCATTCTAAATCCTTTCGATCTCCATCTCCTTACTAACGGTCTCAACATTTTACTAAATATCTGTGGTGCCGATGACAAGCCAAAGGGGAGACAACTAAAGACAAAATATCTACGTGCTCCATTTAATTCCCACGAAAAACCTAAATACTTAACGTGAACTGGATGAATAACAATATGATGGTACCCGGACTTAAGGTCAAATTTAAACATGAAACCATCCGATAAAAAATAATTAACCACTTCTTTTACACCTTCCATCTTAAACTTTTTCTTATCCTCATATGCGTTTACTCCTCTCCAGTCCAAAATTAACCTTTCTTTACCTTTAGGATTTACCGACACTGACAAAGGATTCACTACAAATGTTACCTCTTTACTTTCTAATACAACACCAGACTCCAATAAATCAGTAATAGCTGTATTAACAAATGATGCATGTCGTATAGCAGATTTGTTATTAAACGAAAACGCCCTCACCGGTTCCCTTATAAAAGGTATTAAATACCCCCCTTCTACAACGTTACAAATCGCTTCAGAAGCCTTTAATGTATGTCTCCAAAAAACACTACACATCTTAAGCCTTCCCTTAACAGACCTTTTGTCTTTTTTAACAGGGATTTCAAAATCACCTTTCTCTAAATCATCAGCTAAATTTGCATCACAGTCAATTCTTACCATATCAATGGAAACCTTAGGATTTTGGTCCTGGTGCTGTCTGGGTAATTGAAGGCAAAGCCCTGACTTTCCTTGGGCAGTTCTGTGCCCAGTGTCCAGCCCCGTTACAATAGTAGCACACTCCCCCGGTTCTTCCCGTGTTCGTCCCATTCGCTGCTCCGCCGAAACTGTTGCCGGCGAACCTGTTGACACCGCCTCCGACAAACTGAGGCATTCCTCCTTGGAAGAACGGTGCTGCTCCTCCCCCTCCGAAACCCTGCTGGGCCCCGGGGTTCTCCCCCATGTATCCACCAAACTGTTGAAGGCCACGAAAAAGCTGTTGTGACTCCTGTGAAGGAAACCCATATTCCCTTCGGTCTCTCTGCTGTCCCCCGCTGGTATAATTATTCTGTCCTCCCCGTGCATAGGGCTTACCGCCGTGCCCTTTAACCTTACGACTTCGAATATCCCTGGCCTCTGCCTGACGTAATCGCGCTGAATCCTCAGCGTCGTCAGCAATAGGATCGTCCAAATATTCACCCACGGTATCCCAGCCATGTCTATCGGCTATTTTAACAATTTTGTTCCTCTCCCCAAGGGCCGCCACACACGCTTCTAACTTTTCTGTAGCACACTGCCTGTTGCCTTCTTCTACGAGCGCCACTGCATGCTTCAATTCCACGATTCTGTCGGAATAAAACTTGACTTGTTTCTCGTTGGACTGAAACTTGTATTTAAAGTCACTTTTACTGTTTTCTGCCACCAACTCGTCATGTGCCTGAAGCTTGGCGTCAATTTCCTTAAAAATACTGAACTTCTGTCTCTTTAACACGGAGTCAAGCCGTGACGAAAACAATGACAACGCATCTTCTGTGGTAAGGCTATTAGCTGAACTCTCATTGGAGACTGTTGCTTCCCTCTCGACAGGTTCCTCCTCGCTCATCATAAAAAATAATTGACGGAGCCAACGTGGAACATCCGTCTCTGTGTGTAACAAATACCTCGATGAAAACCCCCAGTTGAACCCAGGTATTTACACACCTGTACAGGTAAAGCACGGACTTCACGTGCCATTAGTTACTACAATTTACAGATCCTTCACTCACAATATAACGAAACGAAATCTATTTTCGGTGACAAACCTCTTCCAAAGTTTCCACGCTGACGATCTGTCCACTTTGAATTTGTCGGCAACTTTCGTAAATAATCCCCGAGGGACATTCCACTTGTTATGTCTCCTCCACCTTCAGTAATACTCTGTATAATCAATGTTCGCATATCCTCACTAATTGCCTTTCCATTTATATATATATCCGTCCCAAGCTGTAAGATAATACACAAGTATTAAGTTATTCCCGCCAAAAAAGAATGGGCGGATCTACCGGGCTCAGTTGCTCTAAGCGCATTGTTAGTTTAAGGACATATTAAATCCATACATTTTAAACACCAGNCTACCCTACATATTTACCTAGGAAACATACATCATACAATATACCTGTAATTTGTGTAAGAGTTATCTATCTTTTGGATACATGTTACATGAACATTAAAGACAATATAAGCGAATTATCTTCTTTCCTGATAAATGTCATCGTAAACCTGGTACCGTGACTTGTGTGAAATATTGTGCCACCCTAGATTGAGAAGGGGGATTTCTCAGCCCCACCCATAATAACTATGTGACGGCACATCAACAATGCAATGACGTCAGGTCAACGATAAATAACCGTCACTTCTACAATACATTGTTAAAACACTGTTCCATTATATAATATGACAGAGTCAAAAAGAAAAGAGAAAAAGAATCATTCATCTCCTTGAGGTGAGATAGGATTCTCAACTATCGGAGAAATATTCCTTTGCAAGCCTTGTAATTTCCAATCTCCCTTCGGATTATAACCCCTATCTCACCCACAAATAAGTAAAAGATAGATTCATTGCATAAACTAAGTAGCGTTATTTGATAATTCAGAATTATCAATGCAGACAGCAGTGTTATATATATAAAAAAATATGTCATCAATTCATTTAGCATTTAATTAAAATTGCACCGAAAGTGAAAACGTTCCATATCGCTTAGATTAATATTAATGTGATAAGAATGTCAAGCTATCTCTAATCGAGAATGATATCAACCCTATATCCAAAGTATTTCTATTTTGCAAACAACAAATGTTTGTAATATATTTGAAAACAAAACACGTATACTGTAATCTGTTATGAAATATATGGTGTTAATATTTTCTTTAATATACTTTTCAAGCCGCTAGTTAAAATATTGTTCCAAACAGATGATAGATATGTATTAAAGTCCATATGAAAGTCATGTCATATGTCAAGTATGAGATGAGAACATCTCATTATATTCTGCTACCTTTTATGGTCCCGGATTGATGGTGACGAGTGGATGAAGATGGCCTGATTACTGATGAGCAGTACTATTCGTAGTCACGTGATTACATGTATGTGTCATTATTATGCATTACGAATCATCAGCCAATGACACAGCAAACCAATGTAAATACTTAAAAATGATTAGGATAAGGTCTCAAGTAAGTATAAATAGGTAGCAGCCATAATTATCTTGTGCAAAATACTTTTTATAGACTTCAGACAGGAGATAAAATTCACAGGTAAGTTAATATATATATATATTTAATAGTATTCTGTGTGTCGTTTTGAGTAATAATTTGATATAGTACAATATGGCTTCAGTGACAGATGATTTACCAGTGACCTTTTTGATTGTTGACAAGTCTGTGTATTTATTGTGTGCGTATGTGTTGTGTATGTGTGTGTATATGGTTTATGTGTGTGTTATGTGTGCGTGTGTTAGTGTGTTGGGGGTATGCTTTGTTCCGACAAACGTATATTTAACGATTGTTAACTAGCAAACCCTGTACACCTTATAATTGCAATTATTACTCACATGGTCCTAAATAGTACAAGAAATATGTATATTAACTACAGGACTAATGTATACCTGTGTAGTTTTCTACTGATATGAAGGTAGTTTTTGGATTGCCATTATTGAAAAGACAATTTTCTTTCAATCATTGTGGGGTTGACGTTTATATCAAATCCTAAAACATCTAATGCGAATATCTACCTACCAAGAAAGGCCCAAACATACGTCTCGAAATTGGTTCTTGGTATTTGTGGTAAGTAAACCCCGGTATTTGTCTCCCTCGTGTAAAATGACAAAAAACAGTGGTTTGTTACACAAAGCCAACCCATCATCTGATCATCAGAAAACTCTGTAAAGAACAACAAGAAGGAAGAAATTATCTAGAATTAACCTATATTTTTCTTATAATTATGTTAAAGCTTTAGGGTCCATACTAGTTGAAAAGGTAATACGGATAATCGTGTTTTATTGAATTTAACAGCTGTTTAGCCATTATTGTATTTATTTGAAAAAGTGTAAATTAATGTTTCACACATTTACCGATTCTCTACATTAACAAATGAAATCTGTGTGATAACTTTATGAAACGAAAAATGCTTATGAATATTATGTCACTCAACCGTCGTTTTCATACCTATTTTTGTCTTCCAGTCATTACAAAGATACACCTATAAACAAAAAACGCTAATCAAGAAACTTAGCATTGTACATCAAAATCCGTTCACTGATATAATTTTGCAGATGATCTTAACTACAATGTAATACAATATTTATAACATATACAGGACAAATTCAAAGCTATTGTAAGCAGGGCATGACCTAAGATCGGAGTAACAATATATTTACATGCTTAACTTTCCTCATACCACACAAAATTGAAATCTATTAACTTGTACATATTATTAAACAAAAATATACATAAGAGCTGTTAAAAATATGTCATACACTGAGCAAATATGTATGAAAGATTGCATTTTCTTCTTTAAATTTAAACATTCTATAGACTTTCATTAAGAAGTATTTGACTGCTTCGTTAATGATAAAATCCACTGTTTTTTAAAAATATGAACCTCTACACAGGAAGATTTTATAGTTGTTAAGTTCGTATAAATCTTTGCCATAAAAAAATCACTGCATAGACCTAATAATTAGGTTACGACGACCATTTTATAAAACACAATTGAAACAGAATCTTGTTGCAGTTCCTGCAGATTGTGGGCAATATCGGACTATCAAAATGGTAACAGGAAATATTATTAATTGAAAGAAAGTTATAATAATAAGTGCTACCTTGATAACACAACCGTCAGAATCAAGCCTTCTCCTCCCCCACCCTCTTCCTTCTCTTCTTAATATAACTGCAGACAGAGTGACGACAAACTTGTTCCGTTGTATGTTTTTTTTACATATGGTAAAAACGCTTACACATTAGTGACAATAAGAATATTAATTGTTACGAGGAAAATATAAATCGTTATATTTTTCCATTTTTTTCTCTCAGCAATATGAAAGTACTAGCTTACATGTTGGTGCTTTTGTCACTAGAAGTACTGAAATGTGCCTCGTTATCTAAAGACCATGCAAACGACACGCAACGACTACCAACACCTCCAGCTGTACCTTCCAGGACACAAACTGACCCAGCACCTCAGACGGATGGACATAAGACATCTGGCGCCGCGACACTTCATGGCCCAAACAGATGTAACTCTACCATCGAGTAAGTTATTGTAAAATTATAATACTGATAAATATGTAGCTTTATTAATCATGAACTGTAAACATTTATTAATGACTTGTTATTGATTTGCTAGATATGTCACTCTCAAAAACGGATTGTTTCTATCCTAAAAAAGATAAACAGTAAAACTTGATATCACAGATTTACTAAGGATTATGAACTCTTATTCTCGTGTAACGTTCATAGTGTGTAATACATATACTTTTGATTGCACCTCTAGAAAAAATCGCTTATGATTGTTCTCAGTCTCAAACACTGTCAACCATGAATTAAGAGACCACAAACGGGAAGTAAATATGTAACTCTCCTAATTTAATTTTAATTGACAGTGCAATCGCTACAGTTTGGAATATTTAAAGTTGTTTTTTATACAAAGATGACTTCTTAAGTGAGGTAGTCGAAGGTTTAATGATTCACTTTTTACAAATTAAAAATGGACATGTCACATACATATTTTATTTTGTAATTTCTCATTGGGCTTAGGTACGACGGGATTGTAGAAGAAACATTTAGATTCACAGGAAAAGTGCGACAGCCATGTAAGGGAGATACTGTTGGTACCGTAACGTGTATTGATGGTTTCTACACGACGTAAGTAATTATATAAACACATCGTGTATTGATGGTTTCTACACNCTGCACTTTGTTTTTATTATTATTTGAAAAAAGCTACATGTGGTGGTATTTAAGATAAAACTATGAGACAATGCAGACGTGAAACTACTTTCACAGTTTGAAACAGTTAGAACATTTCACGTTTTTCAACATATCGTAAAATGTAACTATTCTTTGAATAACTTGACACTAGCGTACGTGAAATAATTTTGGCGCTCATTTGACAACTAAAGTTCATAAGGTCCCACGAGAGTAATCATGGAGAGCGTACAGGTGCAAATTGAATACACAGAGGGGAAAATAAGTAAATTTAACATCCCACCAAAACCGTGTAGATACGAGGAACTCAAGTGTGATATCCAAGCAAGGATTCAAAGTTTGAGTGGTAACATGTTCGGTTTCCAATATTTGGATGACGAGCAAAGCTGGATTATTGCCGTTTCGGATACATGTGTGACCGAGGCTTTTCGATGTGCATCGTCAATAGCGGGAACACTGATGAAGAGAATGAAGCTGAGTATTTTCAAAGGAGAGTCGCCCAAGCCAGTGACACACATTTCTAAACCGACCAGCATGGCAATCGATGATCTTCAAGATGACATAAATGTCAAGCAAAGGAACATTTGTGTCTACAGGAGAAAAAAATACAGCAACCCCAGAACTAAGATGGAAAAATCCA